CCTTTACGCTGTTCCGCTGATGATTTTGATACCCAAAATTCTTTTAAGCGCTGCCCTTTGCAGGATGCATCATATGACATTTCCTTAACCTTGCCCGAATCCACCACAAAACGTATACCATCCACAGTTAAGATGTTTTGCTATATTGTCGAAACATACATTTGCGCATTCCTTCGGGAGCGTAATCAAATACCTGTAGAAGTTGAGAGGTCAAATATATGTGTGTGTCTCGCTATTGGTTTTCTATTTACTTTATCTTGTTCTGCCAACGACAGACCACTGTGTAATGGCAAGATATCCAATGAGATTGTTGTTCGGCATATTCCTTGGCCGCATCACATACAGTGGTTATTTCGTTGACACCACTTACAAATATCAAACATCACCACGCTCAGAGCTGAAAAAAAAAATTAAAAATGAAAATTGTATTACTCGACTGAACAACCAATGTGGATTTGTAGTACCCACTTGAATACTTTTCATCAATTAAACTTAAAACCTGCACAAATGGTGCGGGATCCAATCGGCCAGATGATTTGTGAACGCGACGAAGTCTTTGCTGCAACTCCAAGGAGGGTGGTGGCTTATAAACCGTTTTATGGGATATAAACGACCCGGAACTTGCAGTAACTTTGCACCCTCATCTTTGAAATAGTTGTGAAATAGCTCAACATTGATGGTGGCAGACATGAGTATCAATTAAGCGTCGGTTTGGCACGCAGCAAACATTTGGTAACGCCCAGCAAGAAGTCACCATACAAATTACGTTCATGGATTTCATCCAATATCAAAACATCATATTGTTCCAAGTTACATTCCAGAGCTAACTGAAATTGTAGAAACTGGGTTAGGATATGCAAATGTGAGTTAATTTTTATATTACCTGTCGCAGGAGCAAACCCTCGGTGATAAACAAAATATTTGTGTGCTGAGTTTTGTTTTTCTCAAAGCGAATCTGGAAACCCACCGTTGAGCCATAATCATCCAACATTTCATGGGCAACACGTTTTGACAGGGAGATACAAGCCAGACGACGCGGTTGAGTACATGCTGGAATTATAAATTCTAAAATAAAGAAACCAAACAAATACATTTCTCCTCAACCTACCAAACTCTTATAACCAAATTCATACAAATATTGTGGCACTTGTGTAGATTTACCACAGCCAGTATCTCCGGCAATGATAAGAACATTAGTTTCATCCAGAGATTTCTTCAAAGCATTTTGTACTTAAATATCGGTAGATTTTGCTGTGATTTCCTCAACTTTTTGATTTTGGCAAATCTTTCCTTTTGCTTGAAATCCAAATATATTAGAATAATTTCCTGAAGTGCTTTTCACGTGAAGCTGTAACATCTCCACCACCACCACCTGTAGAAGAATATTTTCTGTGGTGATCAGAGAAATGCCTATTTTTCTTCGCTTCTTATTCAATCTAATGGGAATACAGTGCAATTTATTAGTTTTGGATGTTGCTGCAGTTAAATCGTCCCCGTCTTCTAGAGGTTGTGGTAAAACAGGTTGAACCCATATTTTTCAGCATAGCCTCATATTTATTAACAAATTTCCAAAAATCATTGCGATCTTCAATAAGGGAATTACGTTGATCATTACTCAACAGCAAATGATCAAAGGCAGATTTGTGATCGCAAAATGAGAAATCAATTAAATTGGTCCTTTCTGCGGTATCTTGACGATGCTTGCCTTTGGATTTGTCCATTGAGGAAATATTTAACACACTCGAAACCAAATTCCTTTGGTATTTTGAAACAACTTTCTTCTTTCCTTAGAGAAAAAAACTAGAAATCGGTATTGATAGATAGAAGGATGAAGTAAATCAGAGTAAGGAACAATTATTCAAATTATACCTGTGGATGTTACTTCCAGTTGAGTTCGGTCACAAAAATCGCAAAAATAATTGTTTAGATGTGAAACCAAAGCATAGAAAGTTTGTTTAGAATGACGATAATGCGGATTAATAAAAACAGATGATAAAGGGTAGGGTCACCCTGCCATCTTCGACGTTAATTTCGAATATAGTTAAGGACTTGGCATGGTACAATAAAAGGTAAGGTTGAGCCCAACTCCTGTCAATTTTGTGTATGTATTTATTGTTTGGAAAAATAAAATAAAATATTTTCAAAATCAATGATTGGGAGAAACTTAAATTGCGGGGCGCGCCTAAGTAATATTAACCAAATTTGCCACGGAATTGAAAGATAGAACTGTTTATATCATATTTTTGAGAGGACATCCAGTCATTCATTCATCTTTCGCGCTATTGACTCATTTTAAAGATGAACAAAAAATATAAAATATATGAAAACCAATTTTTGGATATAATTTTGAATAACTCTGACAGGAAGCGGGCATAGCCTCAGGAACATGGCGCTTCTAGGCAAGGAACTATCAAACAGCTTTTGAAATAAAATGTTGAATGAAAAATTGTTGATATTTGTAAAAATTGTTGAAAATTCATATCATAAAATCCTCCAATTTGCGTCGTATAAAAATCTAATTATATTTGACAAAACATTTTAAAAATGGGAACAACTCTAGTTTAGTAAAAACTCTTCGATTTTTTCGAAATTTTTCCCAGATATAGGTATTTTTACTCTGATTCCGGGAAAACTATTTTTTCTTGGGGACGAACCCGGATCTGGGCGGCTAGGCGAAATAAACTTTTTTACTGAAAACATAATTTTAACGAATGGTTAGAATCGGGCTATGTGGATGGAAGGACCCTTATCTCTGGACCCGAAAAAGGTAGCATTATCGAAAGGTAAGAGTGTCAGCTATAATTTGGCATCAATTTTGTTGACCCCCATAATGGGCTCTATTTTGACTTTTTGGTGGTTTTATAAAAAATCCGGGTCCAAAATCTAGATAATTTGACCATAACTTCAGAACCATGACCACTTACTCCGTCATGTTACTACTTGTTGGATAGGTATTTTCAACGATACCTATATTGTCTATATCGGGTAATTGGATATGGGTTTTGTCGGGGTCTTAAACCCGGACTTTGGGATCCCGAGTACGTCCCCCAAGAAAAAAATAGTTTCCCTGGATCAGGGTAAAAATACCTTCCACTGAAAAAATTTCCGATGAAAATGTGCATTTTCGGTTAGCCACCAGAACTCAAGCGCCGGCCATGGTGATGGTGTGGCCCGCGATAACAGCCGATGGTCGCTCTCCGCTCGTATTAATCGGCCGTGTCATCAGAATAAATGACGAATATTATCGCGAAAATATTCTGGAGGGTGTATAAAAGCCTTGGGCATTCAAACATTTTGGTCGCAGACCTTGGACATTCCAACAGGACTCAGCACCATCGCACTCAGCACGCGACACACAAGAATGGTAACAAAATGAGGTTCCTCGCTTCATTCCCACGCACAATAGACACCAAAATCTCCGAATACCAACCCCTTGGACTATTGTGTTTGGCGTATTTTGGAAAGCAAGGTTGGCACTACAAAAAATACCAGAGTCTCAATCACCTCAAGCAAGCGCTTCGCCGGGAATGGGCCACAATACGTAGAGCAACCTTCGGGCAGCGTGTGACGGTTTCATTGGCCGTTTAAAGGCCATAATTCGGGCCAAAGGTGACTAATTCGAACAAGTCTAGACTAATTCTAGAATGTGATGCTATTTTCAAAATTTTTTTCTTTCATTAAAAAAGATTTAAAAAAATGTAAAATAATGGCGTTTTACTTTGTTGCAGTTTTATCTCGCCCTGTACATAAAGTATTTTATTTTATGAAATATGAAATATACGATTACATTACCTAATGTGGCCTCACTGGCATTTTTTAAGTATAACAGCGAATTTTTCTATTATTAGACTAAAAATATGTGTAAAAATATGTGAAGTGAAATTTTTATATCAATTGTATATCAAGAAATGAAATTAAATAAAAAACTTCATATCGAATTTGACACTTGTATTACTATAGAGATGAATCCAGCTTGGGTTTGCTGCTACCTGTACTAGTTATACCTAAGATAAAACTTGTAAATTAGTAAAAAAAGTTCTGTCAGATAGAAATTCTGTCAAAATGATAAATCTTAAAATTTTTACTACGATAACCGATTTCCCCTTTATGATATCGAAAAAATTGGAAAAATAGTAGGATTCTTGCAGGATCTGGAACAGATCATTATTGTCTCTTATGCTTATACACCACAAATAATGAATTGCTATGTTCCAGAACCTGCATAATCTACTATTTTTGCAATTTTTTGTCGATATCATAAAGAGAAATCGGTTATTGTAATAAAAATTTTCACATTCTTGCAGTTTTGGAATAGGCCGACTGGAACAGAGCAAATGTTTCTTGCCAATTGTACAACCTCAAATATTCAATATTGGTAACCATACAACAGCTGTTATGTCGGTCTTTTTTTGTTCAATTGTTATTGTTGTGTTTTTTTTTTTTAGTTCGATTGATAAGACAACGCGAGGTGTATATTTGCCAAAACCCCAACGGAATTATAACGCGCATTATTCCGATTCGACAAGATCATAAACAAAGCACACACAATCGAATTCAGAAGCGAACAAATAGTTAAAATAGCCCCCACGAAAGTTATGTAAAACGTTTCAGACGAAGATACGCGAAGAACAAAAAAAAATGACAACATAAGGATCACAAACTGAAGAAAAAGTTGTTTGTGAAAAATACTGGAAAATTACATGCCCTCAACTAATATATTTATCGTGAGTTCATGAGTGTTGTGATATAAACAATGAAAGCGAAAGTTTTTGTTTGTAATAACTAGCCAGTGTTTGTGTGGGTGGGGGTGTTGGGTGTACATGAATGTGCATGTTGAAACCAGCCAAGTGTTTTACAATGATTTGTAAATGGTAGTGTCTGATCGAATGCGATTTTCATGGAAAAAGGATATATGGCGAATGAGTGAAACAATTCTAGCTATTGCCATGATTTCGTCAAGAACTAACAAGTGTAATCATCAAGTGACATGGGTTATCTCAACGCCAATCATTTGTGATTTGTGAAATTATTCAATAGTTGGCGCGATTTTTGTTGGTTCTTTTTTTCGTTTTGTTTTTATCATTATATATTCATTTATAATTTGGGCATTTTTTCTCACGCTAAAATTGTCTCATGACACTGCCTTTTTTGTAATCATTTCCAACGTGTCGTCGTTGTCGTTTTTTATTCTATTGCACCAAGCCAAAGGCCAAACAAAAACACACAAAGAACTAGTTTTGTTTCCTATCTCTCTTCGACTTTTTTGTTTTGTTTATAACCAAAAATAGCAGCAAAGTGAACTTAAAGGCCATTCAACAACATCTCTACTGCCGCCGCAATAATGCAAAAGCAAGCGGTGCCAAATACTACAGCAGCAACAGCTGCTTCCTCTACAGCAGATGATCCTACTAATGCAGCTCCTCCAACCGGCACCCGCAATCAGTTACGTCCAGTCCTTTCATTTGCCGATAGTTTCGCCTGTACATATATTGTATCGGTTATTGGAGCAGCAAATGCAGAACTTGTTACATATCCATTGGATTTAACAAAAACCCGCCTACAAATACAAGGAGAAGCCTCCAGTAAAAATGCAGTTACAGCCGGTGGAAAAGGCCAGGCGCCGGTAAGTGAACTTTGTACTGAGTGTATTTATTTATTTTTTGTTATAATGTATGTACCTACGCACATATCTACAGTTGTATATTCAAATGTTTTATTTGTTATTTGCATTTACTCTAGTCTACAGTATAAACTTACTTCTTTGGGTATAACTTTCGGATTTGTACTGAAACATCATTTCAATATACTGAACATAGTGGGCTCGTCCGGGTTCAAAGATCCAAATATCTGAATCCAAGAAGGATAAGCATTTTAGAAAGGCTATAGTGCCAACTATATTTTGGCATTTCATTTCCAAAATCAAAAATCAATATTTTTGATACAACTCCGGAACCTTTTTAATCATATGAGCACTTGTTGGATAAGTACATTAGCTTTCAATTGATACCTATACAGGGTGAGGTAAAAAAGCTGCAACAAAGTCAAACGCCATAATTTTTAAATTTTATTGAATGAAAGCAAAAATATTGGTAATAGCATCCAATTTTAGAATATATTTAGATTTGTTCGAATTTATCACCTTTGGCAAGAATTATGGCCTTTAAACGCTTGTAAACAATATAATGAGCTGCCACTGGAATAATTTTAACAGCTGTCGGACGAGTGGCTTTGAAATGATAGAAGTCTGAAGTTGTTTGCAGCTTTTTCATCTCACCCTGTATAGTTGGCCGCGGCCGACTTTTGACATTTCCTTACTGGTTTCACATTTTCAAATGGTGGACTCAAGTGCTTTCAAACGGCGAGCTTTAACGCACATTTAGTTCCCAGAGCCACAAGGCTCTTCCAGGTGTTGGAAATTGAGTGCAAATAATCAGTCTGATAGACATCTCCATTAAAGAGTATTTTGTAAAAGTTTTACAAACATAAATATGTGTGGAGCAAGCCTTTCTCAAATAACAGAAATATTGATTGATCGAATGAATGCTGTTTTTGCATTGCTTATTGAAATTAATTAAAAATCAATTAAATCAATAACTTTTGTAACAAAAAATATTGCACTATTTATAGGTCCAATATCGTGGCATGATGGCCACGGCGGCAGGCATTGTCAAAGAAGAGGGCCCATTGAAATTGTGGCAAGGTGTTACCCCAGCCTTATACAGACACATTGTTTATAGGTAACTACAGCTAAAAACATTTTTATTCCAATTTAATTTCCATAATATAATTAAAGAATATTTTTATTATTCCCTTAGCGGCGTGAGAATATGTACTTATGATTTTTTGCGCAAAGAATTGGGTAAAAATGAAAGTGGCCAAAATGTAGCACTGCCGCTGTGGAAATCTGCCCTGTGTGGTGTTTCCTCCGGTGGCCTAGCCCAATGGCTGGCCTCACCAGCCGATTTAGTTAAAGTACAAATACAAATGGAAGGCAACGTCGTCTAATGGGTGAACCGCCCAGAGTTCATGGTGCGGCTCATGCTTTCCGAGAGATTGTCCGTCGTGGCGGTATCAAGGGACTGTGGAAGGGCAGCATACCAAATGTACAGCGTGCAGCTTTAGTTAATTTAGGCAAGTATGGTTAAACCAAAAAGTATTGCTCTGCAATAATGTAAAATTTGTCCCCGATTCAAATTTTCCTCTATGGCATCGAAAATATATAGAAATAGTAGATTCTCGCAGGTCCTGGAGAAGACAACTATTTGTGGAAAATCTATTTGAATTCAATAACAATATTGTCTTGTATTTTTTGCAGGTGATTTAACAACTTATGATACAATCAAGCACATGATTATGAACAAATTACACATGCCCGATTGTCATACGGTACATGTACTGGCATCAATATGTGCCGGTTTTGTTGCAGCGTTTTTGGGCACACCTGCAGATGTGGTGAAGACGAGAGTTATGAACCAACCCACGGATGAAAAGGGCCGGTATGTATGCATGTTTGATGAAATATTCTTAATATTAAGGAACAATTTTATAAAAAAAACTTATGATATATTTTCGGAAATGTTTTTGAGAAAAGTCAACCCAAGTTAAAAGTACTTAGAAAAGGATTCTCTGAACTACGATAATCGATTTGTATACCCTCAGCAATATGGCTACAGAAAGTATATATCCTTGATACGGCCAAAACGTGCCTCATCGAAATAACGGTTTTAGACCCAAGGTCTCTTTGGACCAAACCCGTTTCAGGGAATTTGGAGTCGATCTAGCGATGTCCGGCCGGGAGAGAGTATCCTATACAAACTTGGCACTTCGTAATATTATTGCCAAACTTAGATCGATTTTTGAGATGGGCAATATTGGTCCAATCCTTTTGATACCTTCCTCGCAATATGTCAATATTTTCAAAGAAAATAATTTACTGCTCAGAACGAGAAAAAATAATCCGATTTTGCTACAACTTTGCAAATCCTAATATTTGTATCAGTGCTAGGTCGGGTGCGAAAATGGACAATATCGGTCCACTCCAGCCAGTACTACCCCACAAAGGGTCAAATTTTTGAATAATTATTACTCTCATAAAATGTGATATAAGTGTCTGTCTGTCTTGAAATTACACAAACCACAATATTTTTATTAACCCACGGTCTGGTGCGAAGATGGAATATATCGGTCCACTCCTTCTAGTACCTCACCCACAAAGGGTCAAAATTTTGAATATGCATGAAGCTCATAAAACAGGAAACTAATATCCGATCCCATTCACACTTGCCACATCTCAATATTTCCATCAACACAAGATCTGTTATAAAGATGATAGAGATCGGACCAATTCTTCTGGTACCACCCTCGCAAAGGGTTAAAGTTTTGAATAACCAAAACAATTATAAAATCCGAAATAAGAATCCGGTTCTCATCAAATTACACACATCACAATATTTTTATTAAGCCAAGGTCTGGTGTGAAGATGGGATATATCGGTCCACTCATTCAGGTACCTCCCCACAAAGGGTCAATATTTTGAGTATTAATGAAGCTCATAAAACACGAAATTAACATCCGATTCCATTCAGACTTGCCACATCTCAATATTTCCATCAAAACAAGTTCTGTTACAAAGGACCAAAGTTTTGAATAACCAAAACGATTATAAATCCGAAATAAACATCTAGTTCTCTTCATTATTCATGAAATTTCAAATTTCGCACATACAAACACTTTTGCTTACACAAGATCTGTTGGTAGGTGGTATATAACCGCGAGCTCCTTCTGGTACATCCCCCACAAAGGGTCACAATTTTCAATACTTATATCTGTCATAACGGTTGCGAAACAAGTCGGCGATTCTTACAACTTGCTATGTCTATATATTTCACTTATCCAGAAATCCAATATGAATTTGTAATTTATCGACATTTATGATTACGCATAAAATTGTATATAAATTTTCGATTACCTTCAAATTTTGCATATACCAATATTTTTATCTTCGGTCGACTATATGTGTGATACCTCACATATATTTCCATATTTTCCAAAAATTTGCACATATAACGTATAGAAAGTAGTCGATATATTCCAAATCTGGCACGTTTGTAATATTTATATCAGTCTTAGGTCAGATACCCTAATATTTACAAACTTCTTCGGAACCTCCCTCATAAAAGGTCAACAATTTGAATAATCAAAACTAAAGGCTGGGGGTATAAATCTGTCGGCAAAACCGACTGTTACACCTATAAATGTGGATTTTTGAGTTGAAAAAATATTACACCACATAATCAGAACTAAAATCCTGAAATTGAAATACAATTTTCAAGTTCGTTCGTACCGAACACAGATGATTCCATGTTTGTTTACAATCTTGAAGTAATATCACATGCATCAAAATACTAATTTAAAATTCTACACTCGTTTTTTTTATTTTCTGATATAGACAAGGAATTTTTTTATTTATTGCAAACTTTTATTATTGTTTTGAATTATTTTCCCGCTGATAATATGTTGGTCTACGCAAAGGCATATTAGATTATGAGTTTGATTATTTATTATCAGGTGTTTGTATAAATAAAAATTTTTATTTGTGAAGAATTATTAGCCCCCCTGCGACAATTAGCACATTGTCCGCATTTGCGCTGACTTTATAACATCAAATCAAAATGTATTTTTGTTTAATGGTGGAGGCACGGTCTCTACCATAATCTCTATGTGATTGATTGCTAATCACTGAAATAATCTGATATAAAAAGAAAAAAAAAAACGAATAAACCTTATAATTTGATTAAGTTTTTAATTGAACATGTCATGTGTTATTTTCTAGAAAAAGAAAACTCTGTGAACTTATCTAGACTCGGCAGACTCGGTTAGTTTATGGGTAATCTAAAAGAACATATTAAAGTGGCTATTAATATAAATGTTTTTGTCTCGTCTTTAACAATCATACGACATAAATGAAACCAAACATTCTGGACATTTGTAGCTATGGTGAATTGTCAAAGTAACAACACCAGAAACAAAACCATTTTATCTGATAAAAATATCTAATCTTGCCCACAAGGTTTGATGTATTAGGTATTGTTTCAGAATATTTAACTTTGTTTTTTTTTAACAAATACTGCCAAATTGCAGAATTTGTTTCACGAAAAAAGGGATGAAATTATAATAGTGTTAGCGATCAGCAAATATTGAGAAATAACTTCAAATTCGGATCAAACTTGTCCCATAGAAATATTTCCAAAAAATATCGTCATCCTATCCAATATTGGGACATTTTTATACCCTCAGCCATATGGCTACAGAGGGTATACAGGGTGAGATGAAAAAAACTGCAATCGACAGTTGTTAAAATTATTCCAGTGACAGCTGATTATATTGTTTACAAGCGTACAAAATCATTATGGTGAGAATTTTCCAGAAAAAAAGTTATTCGTGATGGAATTCAAGCGTGATAGTGTGATTTCATTACATTTGGCTGGAAAACCACAAGAGGTTATCGTTAGAGCACTCCAGCATTTAAATGTGAATAAATCTTTTGTGTCTCGTACCATCGCTCGTTACCGTGATGCTGGTAGCATAGCCAAACGTCAAGGAAGTGGACGGAAGAAAACAGCAACATCAGCAGAAATGGTTCGAAAAGTAAAGACGCGACTTGATCGAAACCCGCGTTGCAGTGGCCGAAAAATGGCTCGTGAGCTGAACATATCGCCATATTCCATTCAGCAAATATTGAAAAATAAGCTCGGGGTAATGCCATTGAAATTCCAAAAAGTGCAAGAACTTACGCCGCAACCGAAAGAAAATAGACTCAAAATAGCTAAAGAGTTGCATCGCTTGGTCGAAAGTGGTGAACTGCCGAATTTTGTTTTCTCCAATGAGAAAACATTCGTTGTCCAGCAGTTTGTAAACAAACAAAAAATGTTTACTTGCCAAAGAGGTCAGCTAAGAATGTGCTTCGGTTGGCCACCAGAACTCAAGCACCGGCCATGGTGATGGTGTGGGCCGCCATAACAGCCGATGGTCGCTCTGCGCTCGTATTAATCGACCGTGGCATCCGAATAAATGCCAAATATTTTCGCGAAAATATTCTGGAGGGTGTATGAAGCCTTGGGCACGCAAAAATTTTGGCCGCAGGCTTTGGACATTCCAACAGCACTCAGCACGCACCACCCAAGAATGGTTACAAAATGAGGATCCTCGCTTCTCAAAACCTCCAGATACCAATCTGTTGGACTATTATGTCTGGAGTATTTTGGAAAACAAGGTTGGTACTAAAAAATACCAACTTGTCGATCACCTTAACCAAGCTCTTCGCCGGAAATAGGCCAAAATACCGCAGAGCAACATTCGGGCCGTTTGAAGGCTATAATTCGTGTCAAAAGTGATCAATTCCAACAAATCTAAACTTATTCTAAAATTTGATGCTATTTCCAACATTTTTTGCTTTCTTTCAAAAAAATTTAAAAAAGCGTAAAAATTATGACGTTCGACTTTGTTGCAGTTTTTTTATCTCACCCTGTATATCATTTGATACGGCCAAAACGTGCCTCATCGAAATAACAGTTTAAGACCACATATATCTCATATCTCATAAGTATAGTAATTAGTCGATATAGTCCAAATCTGGCACTTTGTAATATTTATATCCGATACGATAGGTCAGATACGAATTGGTCAATATTGGCCAATTGCTTTGGAACCTCTCCCATAAAGGGTCTACAGTTTTAATAATGATAACTCAAGGCTGGGGGTATACATCTGTTGGCAAAACCGCCTGATACTATTTTACTTGTTATATTTAAATTATTTATATATTAATAATTATAATAAATTATTTATTATCCATTTCTATTTTATTTATTTCTTTTTCTTGCAGTGGCCTCTTGTATAAAGGTTCCATAGACTGTCTACGTCAAACTGTAAACAAAGAAGGCTTTACAGCACTATACAAAGGTTTCTTGCCCTGCTGGATACGCATGGCACCATGGTCTCTTACATTCTGGCTGTCCTTCGAACAAATACGCACAATGATTGGCGCCTCTAGTTATTAACGTTGTTTTTCCTTGTTTTTTTTTTAGTTTTTGTTAATATTTAAAAAAAGAAATCTACTTAAGAAAAAACAAAACAAACTGCTAAACATCACATACATTGAAATTATAAATCTATTCTAAAACACAAATAATTGTAAATAGAATATGTACATCATATTAAATATTATTATTAAAAAAATGTATGTATGTAAGCCGGCAACAATTTGGCATGTTTCCCTTTTTATGATTTTAATTTTTTTGTTTTAAAATTCAGAAAACTATAAAACTCATCTCATCAATTTTCAGTGCCTATAATATTTATAAAGACTCTAAATTTATGTGTAGAACTTTATATTGGTGATATTGCTGCAAAACAAAAACCAATCAACAATTAAGTAGAAATTGCGATGTTTAACAACACAATTTGTTGCTGCACCCTGCAATGAAAGCCATTTTGTGATTCTCCTTTTTTCTCTCGAACTGAGTTCAAATAGTTTTTTTTTTCATTGGTTTTAATTGGCTTGTTGTTGTATGATAATGATATGTAACATTTTTTTTAAAAAATGACTGTTATTTGTTAATTTATGATTTGAAATAAAAAAATATGTTAAGACTTGATGCCTACACATAGTTCTGAATAAAGTGAAACTTACAAAAAACAAAACAAAAGCAATTTGAAATGTGAGCCCAATGACAATATCAACATATACATATTTATTTTTAAATACCAAATAAAAATCGCATAATTGTACAAAATTTATAAATGAGGAAATTATTTGAGCATAGTGTATCAGAACTACTACTCAGTTTACTAATACTACTACTACATCGTATAATTTTGGATCGACTACTTTATATGAGATATGTGCAAATTTTTGGAAAATGCGGAAATATGCGTGAGGTAACAGTTATAGCGGACCGAAGTATTCCATTTTCATACTTCATTTCATTTCATTTTTCATTTATTTACCTTACAAAGAAATATAAATAAGCCCACAGGGCCCATAACTTATATTATCTATCTACAATACCCTAACATAATACAAATTCAATGATTAATTCAAACTTAACAAATAACATATTAAACCTAATAATTTATCTTAATAATTCACAAGAAGCTCGAACCCTACACCTCGATTCACCATCACCAACTAAACAATAGTCTAGTAGAGCAGTGAAAAAGTGTAGCAGAAACGAGCTAAAAATTAGAGATAACTATTTTATTACTCACAAAACAGAGTATAAATAGTAACTCACATTATACCCTACAAATAAAATTAAGAAGATAATATAGTGGCTCTCCAGCCCAAACAAAAAGAAAAGCAAAAAGAAAGACCCATAATAAACCGACGCAACCACTACAAAAACATAGCCTACATATTTAGGCGAAGGTATTCAATTACTTTAACCCTAAACAGATAATTGGTATGGGCAAAAGTACGTAAGGCCAAAGGAAGCTGATTCCACAATCTCACCGCCCTAACCACAAATGATCTCTCACCAATGGAGGACGAAAACCTTGGACACAACAATTGAGGATTTCGAGATGATCTACAAAACACAAAGTTGTCACGAAGAGGCGAGTCAAAATTGCACATAACACTGCAATGAAATTGAAGAATACGAAGATCAACGTAGCTGCTAAATGGCAATCCCAGGAGATCATTAACAAAACAAGAAACATGATCACCACGACGCAAGCCATACACATAACGAACAATCGAATTTACCGCCCTACGGATACGTTGCATTTGAGAAGAAGTAGTACCGGAGACTACCTCTAGACAATAATTTACCTGCGATAGCAGCAAGGATACAACCACTCTCTTCCTAACATGACAAGGCAAATAAGCATTAAGACAATACAGCCTCCGCAGCTGAAACCTTATACGACAAAGCAAGGAATCAATGTGTCTCTTAAAGTCCAACTTCCGATCAATTATAACACCAAGACATTTCATTTCATCAACAAATTTCACTAACACAGAACCCACAGTAATATTAAGAGAACCACCATTACCATGATCATTGAACAGCATAGCTTTAGTTTTATTCCAATTAATCATAAGGCCATTTAGCGAAATCCACGACGAAAGAGACAAAACAATAGAATTAACCAACCCTTCCAACCCAGCAATATCAGCCTCTCTGAAGAAAACATGAATATCATCTGCATACAAAAACAGACAACACCTGTCATCAACAACTGAGTGCACAATGTCATTAATGAACATAATAAATAACAACGGTCCCAGTACAGAACCTTGCGGGACTCCACATTGGACACTACAAACTTCAGACGAAACACCCAAATGAACAACAAACTGAGACCTACCTTCCAAATATGAAGCCATTAAACGACACGCAGAAGATGAAAAACCAAACTTAAACCTCAGCTTGTCAAGTAAAAGGGAATGGTTTATCGAATCAAAAGCCTTTGACAAGTCAAGGCCCAATAATAACCCAACATCAGATGAATTAAATACATCTCTAATCATGTCAGTAAGATATAATAAGTGCGTGGTCGTACTACATCGTCGCCGAAAACCAAACTGAGAACTACTCAATAGCCTACGATCATCAAGGAAGTCAACAATCGCTTCTTTAATAATATGCTCAACGACTTTTGACATAGCAGGTAGAATGCTAATGGGACGTAGATTCGGCAAATCAAATGATTCACCAGTTTTCGGCACAGGAACAATTCGTGCAACCTTCCACGCCCAAGGAAAAGTAGATGTCATAAAAATCGAGTTAACAAAATGCAGGAAATGACAGGAAATGTATGGAAATATAAGTTTAAAAAACTTTACTGGCACGCCATCAACCCCCACAGCTCCCGACTTAACTTTATTTAATGACCTTACAACATCAGAATAAAATATGCAATAAAACCGAAAAACATCATCTCCCACATGACCCTCACTATAAAGAGACTGACCACGCTCACCCACAAAACCAGGATTCCCACTGGAAAAATAATGATTAGCAGCATTGACATCAATTGGTGGAGCTTCATTATCACTACCCAAAACACCAAACGACTTTAGAGATTTCCACAGCTGATTATTGTTCATACGACCAAAGAAATCATTATAGTACTTACGCCTCTCATTCCTCATCACAGCCTTACAACGATTCCTATACATACAATATATTATCTAATACAGATAAATACTTCATCTAATACAAATAAAAATATTGGTATATGCAAAATTTATAAGAAATCGAACATTTATATACAATTTTATGGGAAATCATAAATTTCGATAAAATACATATTCATATCAGATTTCTGGTTAAGAGAAATAATTGGAAATAATAAGCTGTAAAGAATCGTCCACTTGTTTCGCAAGACATATATAAGTATTGGAAATTGTGAAGCTTTGTGGGTGAAGTACTAGAAAGGGGTTGGCAGATATATAGCATCTTCACAAGAGATCTTGCGTTAGCAAAAATATTTGGATGTGTAAAATTTGAAAAGAGTTGGATGCATATTTCTCTTTCTTTGAGCGTTTTGTTTTTCAAAAATCTTGAACCCTATGTGGGGGAGGTACCAGAAGGAATGGTCCGATCTCTACCATCTTTATAACAGATCTTGTGTTTATGGAAATATTGAGATGTGCCAAGTCTGGAATTTGGTTTTTTATGCTTCATGAATATTCAAAATTTTGACCCTTTGTGGGGGAGGTTCCAGAAGGAGTCGACCGATATATTCCATGTTCACACCAGACCTTGTGGTAATAAAAATATTGTGATGTGTGAAGTTTGATGAGAACCGGAGGCTTATTTCGGATTATATGATCGTTTTTGTTATTAAAAAACTTTGACCCTTTTGTGGGGGAGGTACCAGAAGAAATGGTCCGACTTGTACTATCTTTATAACAAATCTTGTGTTTATGGAAATATTGAGATGTACCAAGTCTGAATGGAATCGGATGTTAGTTACGCGTTTTATGAGCTTCATGGATATTCAAAAATTTGACCCTTTGTGAGGGAGGTACCAGAATAAGTGGACCAATTTATTTCACCTTCACTCCAAACCTTGGGTTGATGAAAATATCGTGATGCGTGTAATTTGAAGACAATCGGAAACATCACATTTTATAAGAGTTATAATTATTCCGACCGATATGGTCAATTTTCGCACCTGACCTAGCAAATATGATGCAAATATTAGGATTCGCAAAGTTGAAGCAAAATCGGATTGTTCTTTCTCTTTCTGTGCAGTAAATTATTTTCTTTGAAAATTTTGACATTTTGTGGGAGATGTACCAGAAGAAGTGGACCTATATTGCCCATTTCCGAACTCGATCTAAGTTTGACAATAATATTACGATGTACCAAGTTTGGATCAAATGGGATAGTCCCTTCAAGAGTTATCGTGCGCACCTGGCAGACAGACGGACATCTCTAGATCAACTCCAAATGTCCTGAAACGGATTTGGTCCAAAGAGACCTAGGGTCTAAAACCGTTATTTCGATGAGGCACGTTTTGGCCGTATCAAATGATATATACCCTCTGCAGCCATTTGGCTGAGGGTATAGAAAAACTCTTTTGGAGATTCTTGAAAAGGCATGTTTTATTTTTGGTTGTATAAAATGAAATTATACATATTTTCTGTTGACTTTATTTTTTAATAGCTAAATCACTTATAAAAGAAAACAATGTTTATATTTTGTTTTTTGGTGGGAGAACAAAAAAAAATAAGTTAAACGAAAAACACAAAAGTTAACCCAAAAACGAGAAAAAATGGCATGTGAAAATATAATTTCTATTTGCTATATTTAGGTATGAGTGTGTCTGGCTGTCTTGTACAACTATAGCTTGACTAGGAAATTAAGGGAAACTGTTACTATTCTAAGCCTAAAGCATAGTTAATTCCCTGTACAATGAAGAATATTAATGGTTGCCATGCTACCAAAAAACGAATCCAGTCCAAGAGACGACCATACAGGACATGTGGACGTTCCCATCTAAAAGAAAAAATAAAATATTTTATGAAAAATTATAAAAAAACATAAACAATTGTTTAACTTACGGATTACAGAACATCTTTTTGAGATCAACTTTTTCCTTGCAATAGGGGCATGTTTGTTTTTTGCCAACAATACACCAGCCACGTATGCAGAATTCATGGAACACATGATTACACGATAGTTTATATGTGTTCTCTATGATGCCTTCTTCCTTTTCACTAACCAACAATTGATTACCGCAGACAGCACAAACATTTTCCTCCAAATGTCTGGTGGGAATTCCCTGGGGCGTGTAGTACTATGGAATAAAATAAATTTAAGGTATATTTTTCAAATATGAAATATGATAAGTGATTATTACTTATCACTTACCCCCACTAATGATGCCATTCTCTCTGAACATATCTCCGAAATATCCCTACCCAAAACACCAATGTAAAGGCCATAGAATACAAACATAAGACCGACATCCATCCAAATATGTGGTGCCTGATTGAATATGAAATTAAAACCCAAAAATGTGGCCATCATTATCAGATAGCCCACAATGCCCAGACCATAGCTTAATTTGTAAATAAAGTAAAACCATTTGTAGACCAATCTGAAAATAATACAATTAATAAATAATATGTAATAAAATTAAAATATTATGTTATGTACCTTGGCGTAGATCCTTCAATGGGTTTACTTATAGCTTTTCTTATCACAACAGCTGTGATAATGGAAAATATGGACCATATAATTATAAAGCGTATGAAACCGTAGAAGAATGATATGCCTAATGGTATGACCCACATTGCCAGCAATGTGACGGCCTGAAAAGTAAAAAAAAATAAAAACGAAATTACAATTATTTACATTAATATAGTGTAATTGATCAAAGTTCTACGAAAATATGTAAGTATACGTGGTAAGTATTTAATTTTTTGAGGAAAAACAGTGGACAGAGTTTTTCGGCAAAGAAAAACAACTCTTAAATCTTGAAGACCAATTAATTATCTTGGTTTAAATATCATTGACTATAAAATTCCTTGCCAATTTGTGGGATTTGCTAATCGACAGAATTTCGGACTATTTTCCGGTAAACAGTTTACGCGAGACCTCAAGTTTTGTGGGATTACATTTAACGTATCAAAATTGTATATAGTGGACATGCAATCGCTTAAAATGTCAATGTTTTCAAAAATATCCAGCAAATGGCCTCCCCAGCTTTTGAAGTTTTAAAAATTTTTGTTCGTTTTTATACACTTCAAAATCTGGAGAGGAGTTTTCGTATTAAAATTTGATGAATGCCTTTGCTTGCTCTAAAGGTCTGTATAGATGTGACTCAACCTGACAGTTTACATTTACACCCAGACTGGCAATATTTATATTTTATTTTGCACATAATAACTTTGAATATTCATTTCTATTCAAATTTTGGAGAAATTTCGCTTTCGACGGTTTCATGGTTTGGCCATTTAGATACATTGCCTTGAATTCTTATCTTATCGCCGAATTAGTGGCACACAAAATAGCTGACATTTTCTCCAATACTTACAGAATATGACTTATAATGTTTCTTTTTCCATTGTACTAGAGCTATTTGTGCTATAATTAAAGTTACAAACAAAATTAGCACAATTTCCGAGTGCATTGCTTCATGACCCTTGTGTTTTTCATGCATCATCTGGTGATCATATCTGAGAACAAGAAAATGAAAATAATCATCAATTAGTTTGTGTGACCTAGTTTTGGGGTTAATTTGTTAATTATACCTTGCTTTTTCTTCTGGTGTCATCTCCTCGATGGACTAAAAATATAAAACAATTTTTAGGGTAGTTTTTCATTTAGTTGGGCTGTTCTTGTTTTCTTTTTTTCTTGCTTACCTTATTGAAGTCGACAGGAGCATGAAGACTCCTGTGATCCATTTTCGTTTTTATTAACTATTTTGTTTATATAAAAGCGATGAATTTGCGATTTAATAACATTTATTTAGGAAATGTTTAATAATTAAAAGTGGAAAAACAAATTCCGTTTCCCTTCAAAACGATAATGCATGAAGATTAGAAATTTTACTATTCACAATAGAGGACGATGACAGCGGATTGTTTACGGCTGACGTTGATGTTTGGGTTACTGTGAATGATTGAATGTTTATTGAGCATGAACTGAAAGTTGGCATATTATGGTAGAGATGTCGGGTTAGAATTTTTTTGGGTATGTAATGAATATTAATGTATGCTCTGTTCCAGACATGAAAAGAGTTTTCAGGCGAAAGAAAAATTTATTTTATCATAATCATATCTGAATTATTAAGTCGATCTGAAGATGCATTTCCATAGAATACTAAATAGTCTATTAACACACAAAAATGTATCCAGTAAAGAAAAAAAAAAAAAAGAAAAAAATCTTCCTTTTATTATTTTAGCTATTTTTAAAAAATGAATTAAAATCTTTGGACAAATTCGCGGCAGAATTAACAAGGTAAACTCATTTCCCAAATCGGCAAATGCCATGTTGGAACTCATCTATCATTTTCAAATCTTTTTAATGAGTACCATAACTATTTACGCAAGACAAGTGGCATATTTTTTGTAAAAATAAAAAAGAAGGATATTTAGTTTTTAATTTAGAAAGATCGATGTTGTCTATCAAATGTTAAAAAAAACAAGTAAAATACAGGGTGAGATGAAAATATTGCAACCAACTTCAGACTGCTGTCATTTCTAAGTCACTCGTCCGACAGCTGTTAAAATTATTTAAGTGAGAGCTCATTATATTGTTTACAAGCGTACAAAAAATGTTCTAGAAAAAAAGATATTCGTGATGGAATTCAAGCGTGATAGTGTAATTTCTTTATATTTGGCTGGAAAACCACAAGTGGCTATCGTTATCCAGTATTTAAATGTGAATAAATCTTTTGTCCCGAAAATGTCTCGTGAGCTGAACATATCGCAATATTTCATTCGGCAAATATTGAAAAATAAACTCGGGGTAAAATCATTGAAATTCCAAAAAGTGCAAGAATTTTACCGCAACAGAAAGAAAACAGTCTCAAATGAGGTAAAGAGTTTTCTCCGATGAGAAAACATTCTTTGTCCGGGAGGCGCCACCCAATAATGGATTCAAAATGTGGTTCCTCGCTTCATTTCCAGCGCACTATGGCCAACAAAATCTCCGGATACCAATCCGTTGAACTATTGTTTCTGGAGTATTTTCGAAAGAAAGGTTAACACTAAAAAATACCAGAGTGTCGATCACCTCAAGCAAGCGCTTGCAGGGAATTAGCCAAAATACCGCAGAGCAACATTCGGGTAGCGTGTGACTGTCTCATTGGCCGTTTGAAGGCCATAATTCATGCCAAATGTGACGAATTGGAACAAATCTAAACTCATTCTTAAATTCTAAGCTATTTCCGACAATTTTTGCGATCAATCAATAAAATTAAAAAAAGTTAAAATTACGGCATTTGACTTTTTTGCAGGTTTTTATGGAAATATTGAGATATACCAAGTCTGAATGGAATAGGATGTTAATTTCGACTTTATGAGAGCCATTGAAATTCAAAATTTTACCAGAAGGCGTGGACTGATATATCCAATCTTCATAGCAGATCTTGTATAAGTAGAAATAATGGGATGTTTGAAATATAAAGAGACCCGGATGCTTATTTCGGATTTTATAATCGTTTTTGTTAATCAAAACGTTGACCCTTTCGTATAATACAAAACATGTACTATAATTCAATATTGAATATTTCTGATATGAAAAATAATTAAATGATAGCCTGAAATTTGTAAAAATTTTTGCTTCTGCACTGGACAATTCTTAGTGAGATAATTTTTCCAAACTCTCAATAAAGGTTGGAATACCCATAATCTATACTTGTTCACCTTGTTTGTTCTACTATTACTACTAATTTTAATATAGTACTGCTATGATTTGCTAATATTTAAAAAATCGATGTTGTTGTTTTATGATATGGTATGAATATAATTATACGATGTACTCTACGTTCTGTAGTATTTTTCATATTAAATCATCCTACCCTACCCTGTAATGATTGTGTCCATGGTGCTTTTTGTACCATATATTTCTCATTAATTCTTTGAGTATCCAATAATCTCTATTATCCTATTGCAAATCGAAAAAAACACTTGAGAGAACACCAGTCATAATTACGACTTAACAATTTTAAAATCTTTTATTTTATTTTCACTCCAATGATTCTTACGCCTAATTGGGGTAAATTCGTTGATGACTTCTTTGGCATGACAAATATCATTCGCCCCCAATCTATAGTGGAAAACTTTATCTTTACGTTCTTTCTTCTTTGCCCAGGATTTGGTTTCCTTTCCCGACAATATATCGTTCCCACTTATGGCTAATTGTTTCAGACACTCGTCGTCGGGTGAATTATTTTCAATACATCTTCTTTTGATTTCCGGTTTCCTCGTGGGACCTTTTGTTTCGTATTCGAATTCTTCATAAGGTTTAACATAATCTTCAAAGCCGTTTAATAGCCTGACACGACTTTTTGCTTTTGATTTTTTTTCGCCGATCGCATTGTTGACTTCACAAAATTCATAGGTTTGTTTCAGGATATCATGGAATTTTTTAGCCATATGTTTTTGCATTGATTCGGGTAAATTGAAATCAGTTCCGGTGGCATCTTCTTCGTCTGCTAGATATCGTTGTGATTTTGGTTTATCTGTAAAAGAGAGATGGACATCTGAAAACTATTTTCGGATCAAGTCTCAAACTCTATAGATTGTTGTGCTTATTAAGTCACGTCAATTACAAGAGTTTAAATATGCCGTTTGTTGGAGGGAAGTTCATATATTCGTCATAAGAGTCTCCAAAATTTCGGATTTACTCTAGCAACATGGATGAAGGTTTTAGGCCTTGTGAGAAACACTCCAATAATTCCAAAGTTTGGCTACGTAAATTGGAAGTCAACCTTTTGATTCTTCAGCTGGCCGACCGGACGGAGTCGCTCAACGATATATACGCCCTACATACGACAATTAACACACTTTCCTGTTGTACATTTTTATACCTACCCTCCTCCTTTTTGGTGATTGATTCATTAGCTGCACTATCGTCTTTAGTTTCTTTTTCGGTCTTATCCTTAAACATATCATTGTTTAGAAGTGTTGTGTCAGATGCCTCCAAGAACATTTTCATTTGTTCCTCATCTTCTGAATCACTTGAGGACATTTTGGAATTTTTTTTGCAAATTCCAATTTTCTGGGATGAATAAAATTTACAATATTTTTTTCAATTGTTTAAGTTTAACAAAATGAAGATATTTTTTTCGTTTAGTCCCGGCCTGGCAAGAAAGTTTGTTTTTGTTTACAAACATAAGCACGTGCACAAATATTAGGCAGGGTTACCATGTCACAATTTATTAAATGCGAAAGTTCCTCCCACACAGGGTACAATAAATATAGACAAATGAAAATATAGACAACGAAATGCTCTCACCGTTTATCTTTGAAAAAATTCGGATCAACAGATGTCGTCAATATAGTTTAAGGGGTTTGAGTGAGAATATTGAAGTCACTCAATTGTAAAATGTTAAAAATATTATAAACTGTAGGATATTTGTCATTTAAAATTTGTTCCATAACAAAAGATAAGAGAAAACTACGTGATGACATTGAAAAATATGGGAATAATACTGTGAGCATCTTGAAAAACGATACAATGTGTTTTCGAAGTCGAGTGTGTTGAACGCGTAAATCTTGTAAATTTTGTGTTTGGTCCATGGTAGAACCATGGTGAAATTAAGAAGGTAAAATCATGCAATATTTTTAAAATTATTCATTTGACAACATATTGTTGTAAAAATTTATATTTATAAATCCATTGTATACACAGAAATCAGAGATGGGAACCTCAGTAAGTAGAAAGTAGGTGAAATTACATAAAATGCTTTTCTCACTGGCATAAGTCATCGGCTGGCTTTTTCGTAAAGGAACAAACGAGTTTTAAGTTGACTTAGTTCGATTTCTGCCCTAGGCTCCTTTGTTCTTTCCCGAAGCCAGTCAGAAAAGCATTTTATCTATTCTCGCCTTTGCTATTGCAGTTCTGAAACAGACCATATTTATTTCGATAAATATCCAGTATATTGAAACTGCAATTGCAAATACACAAATGTCTCCACTTTATTTTTTATTATCTTCAGCTGTTTGGTAGCGTTGTAATTCTTGACATGATTTTATCACTAAACTATTTGAGTTGTTACTTTGGGTTATGTAGCCACACTTTTAAGTGCCCCGTACATGTGGTGTGCGCCTTTAAAAGGGGTAACCCTGAAAATAATTGATAGCTAGAAGAAGAAGAAGAACAATTACTAAAAAACAGCTGATTATTCCAATTACTTAAATGTCAATATTAGGGAATAATGTAAAAAGAAAATGGAAAAATTAAGCGAGGAAAATGGCAGCCAGAATTTCCTGGCAAAAATTGTAAGAAAAATCGGTCCTTTTTGATTTTGCCTGCGAAGAAGATTGGATGCGTGGCTCCCTGTAACCAGCGAAGAAAAAAGCCGACAAAGTTTTTGGTGATGAACCACTTGTTAAGAAGTGAATTCAATGTTTTTATTTGTTTGAAACATATATACAAACAACACGAAATACAAACTTTTTTTACAAAATTGGAAGCCTTAAAATAATTCAACAAAAGTTAACAACAAAAGGCTAAAAGTTGAAAGAAAACTTATAACAAAACAAATAATTTTCACAAAAATTGAAAATTAAAAGACAAATTGAACTTTTCTTAAAATTAAAACAAAATTTGGAAACAATTTAACCAAATTGAAAAGAAAACCACAACAATTAACTAAAAATCTAAACCAAGAAAATAAATCTTAAACCTAAAAATTCATTAAAAATTGGAGCCTACAAGCCACACCATCGCCCATCCAATCCATCGAGGGAGCCGCTGATTTTACGCCATTGCTAACCCAGCGTGGCTTGGTATTCCCAATCGACATTTTATACACGAAACCTCGGACAGACAGACGGACGACGAAGCATCATAATTAAATTCCGCGGTTTTTTCTGTAAAAAAAGGAGAAATATGAATTAGAAGGGGAAACAAATGAAGTAAATTTAAATTTTAATCACCTTTTGGTTAGTCTGCAGGTACACGACGTTGAACAGAGCTCTATTCAAGGTTAGGTAACCAGGCTTTTAATCCGTTCGTCGATTTTAAGTGCTAATCGACACTCCATCTTTGTTTGCCTTTCCTGAAATTAAATGAAAGAAATATAATTAATAAAAAAATTAACGTGGAATATAATTAAAAAAGCTAAACTTTAAACAATACTTACGTACATACTTGTTGGGAAGAACCACAATTGCAAGCTGCCTTTATTGCACCCTAATTTTTGTCATCAGAAAGCGCAGTCTAAAAGAAGAAAAAGGAGAATTTTTTTGTAATTTTTGGCAAAATTGTTTTAATTCATTGAATTGAATTCATTGTTAAATTTGAACGCAAACATTAAAGTTAGCATGTAATTTTTCTACGAATTGTTATTTGGGTATTTAAATAGTTTAAATAAAATGTACCAATTTTATATAGAAAAGACAAATATGTCCTTGGCTTAAAGCCCTTTTTTAAAAGGTGGTGGTAATGGTATAAAATGCGGTAAGTCAAGGGTCAGATCTGGGACGTCCAGTATGAGTAGACGTCATGGCGAGAGGTGTTCTCGGAGGGAGGGCTATCTCCTGGCTGGTCAGCCGCCAGGAGCACTGTTTCTGTGAAAAAAACTAATGTTATTTTGGGATTTGGTTGTAGTTAAGTGAACGTTTTCTTCTTTTTAATTTTTTTGTTGACATGTTTCAGGCTTCTTTTTACCCCCTTTTTTTAAATTTAGTTTGAAGTCCGGTATGATTTTATTTGTTTGTTCAACCGAAAAGATCTGCAAGTGGCAAGAACCAACCCCCAATCCGACGAGCCATAGCCGCGCTAAACGCCAGCATACCGGCAACGCCACTTAATGGTCAACACAGCGATTTCATTTCGTTTTTTCTTGAACACGGTTGCTACAAAATGGCGCCCAGAACGTGGGGCCTGAGACATGTTAGTTTTTAATAATTTTTAGTCGTAGTGTATAAATGTGTTTACCATGAATCTTTAATGAGTCCCGTCTAGGTTTAATTAAGGGTCCTGACGCGTTGCTTCATCGAAGACTCGGGTAAACATCATTTATATTTGGAAAAATATGATTTTTAGTTTTTTCTAGTGGCTTAGTCGTTCTAGTTTAATACTTCTAATTGCACTAGCATTTTAATAAAAGTTCATATTTCGGTAAAGTTTAAATTTCAGATTTCTTAGAGTTATAACGTTGAAAGAATTCGTCTGGTTTAACAGTTCTCATTTGTGGAGACCCGTCTAAGCAGCCGATTAGAAGGCAGGTGACGCGCTGCTACGCAAATATGAACTGTTATTCTCAAACGAATTTGTTGATTTGGGTTTTTTTTAGATTTTAGTTTCTGTCTATATTTAATTTCAGTACCCGGAATTTGGTAGCTGATCTCAGACTTACCTAGAGTTTCCATTCGGTCCTGCGACAATTTTGGCTTCCGACCATTGGTCGTATTGTCATGGAATCTCTTAAGGTATGTCCGAGTAAGCCGCCTATTCCATATTCCATTTTAATTTTTCACTCCGTTTTTAGTCCATTTTAATTCCAGTTTTGCCAGTGTAACTCACCAAATCCCTGCAAAAAAGTGAAACATATTAAAATTCATACAGAAACAATTTATTTGACCTTGACTTACCACTATTTTGACCAGAAATCCACCACCTAACATTATTTGATTTTTTCCAGTTTTTTTCTTTAAAATTATTCTGCCGGATAATAGAATTTGTATGCCGTACAGAATAACCTGTAAAAGTGAAAAGTGTGAATTAATTGTGAAAGAACTGAATTACATTGAATTGATTTTTTTTATTTTACTTACCACAATTGTTTTTATTTTATTTTTTTTTCTTTAATTCAAACCACCGTGTGGTTTACTTTCGAGCAAAATCTTTTGACAGATTTTATTTTGATTTTTTATTGCTTTTTCGGAGTTTTTGTTTGCTAATTTGGTTATATCAAGAAGCAATATGCCTCTTACTAGAGCTGCGAGTGCAGGTTTGGCAGGTAGACCGATATTAGGGCAAAATGGGGTGGTAACCACTTCCGAAGCTACAGCCGTAAGCAGTGTTGTTACCGCGGTTCACAGCGCTCCTTCTAACGCAAAACAGGTTACAACTGCCGCGCATAGTGGTCCCATTGCTTCTCATATTACACATTTAGCACATGGGGACGTCCCAGTTCAAGGTGTTTCATCATCAATGTCCAATTCATCGGCACCGCCACCAGTTCCATTAAGCATGCAAGAGGCCGCTAACTCGTTTAACACGTCTTTTTGGTCACATGGAAGCGTGGCCTCACCAAACTATAGTGTTTTGACCGGGTTGCAGAATAGACCAGTTGTTCCGCCAGCAGATCCAGCAGTCAGCGCAGGAGTCAGGGAAATTATTAATTCTGCCATCGCCCTGTCCCAATTGCAATACCGTCAACAGGAAGAAGAAAGGTTGAGAGTTCTGATACCCAGAATTGCTGAAGCGACCAAGCGTTCGTTGTTGGGGGATAATGACGCCACTAATCAGTTATTTTCACAAGCCGGCTTGGCGATGCCAGCAGCGGCACCACATGCACCAGCGCGCACATCCTTGGAGTCAGTCATTCTGTCTTCACATGCATTGGCGTCAGGCTTAACGTCTCAGCAGCCTAATCTAGCAAGGGGTTACCCACTACCATATCCGGAGCGAGTAAATCCAACACCGATTCACGATCCTAGACCGTTGTCACTTGGTCCTTTCAACCAACCGCCACCAGGGTTCACATCAAGTGGTGCACCCGCACAACCACCAACAAGCTTATCGGTACCACCACCAGTCACCGGAGTCCAAGCTCACCCAATACTGCCGACCGAGAGGTTGCCTAATATCTACAGCAGAGGCATGCGAACAGAGCCACACGAGACACATACCAGTCCACATCCAAGCAGTATCGTCTCAGAAATCTCCGGGCGTTTTAATTTGGCGAAATGGGGAGTATCTTTTGATGGGACCGACAGAACCATGAGCGTCCAAGAATTTATTTTCCGAGTGGGTGAACTTAAAAAAGATTATAATTGCCCAGATGAAGTATTGATCACCAAATTTCACCAACTTTTGGAAAAACCAGCTCTCGATTGGTATTGGAACCACCGGAAATTGGTCCAGTTTCGCACATGGAAGGAGTTGGAAAGTGCTTTGTTGGCGCAATACCAAAGATTTGAAAATGAATTCCAGCTTCAAATGCAGATTTTAAATCGGCGTCAACTACCACACGAGAATTTTGAAGATTTTATAATGATGTACTGCGGCTACGGACACAGCAAAAGTCGCCATACAGGGAGCACGAGATAGTGGAAATAATGAGAGGCAACCTTAAGCCGTCTTTAGCCCAAATGATCTTCTCGGCTCAGATAAATAGCTTGGGTGATTTTTATAGGCAGGTGAAGAAAGCCGAAAATCTTTTATGGACCCAAAGGCAGCAACGATACAACACACCACAGAAAGTGCACGAGCTCGATTGGCAGATGGAAGAGGAACCCCGAGGTGAAATTGAAGTGGAAGCTGTGACCATGACATCCAAATATAAATGTTGGAACTGCGGTGTTATGGGTCACAGCTGGATAGAGTGCCGGGAGCCTCGAAAGATTTTCTGCTATCGGTGTGGCCAAGAAGGTGTTACCGTCCCCGATTGTCCGAAGTGTCAGGGAAACCGGCACAGGAACCCACCTCAGTCTGGGCAGGTGAGGTCAACCCCAGTTTAAGCCCAGAGCAGAGTAGTAGTAGTTCCAGTATTAAAGTTTCTATTTTAAAGAATGAAGAGAGAGAAAATTTAAAGTCAGAAGTAAAACCGAGATTGAGAGAGTTGAAACCACTTCATATCAGAATAAGAGAATATAGCGAGGCGAGAGAAAGAATTTTTGGTCAAGTTTCCAATAAAATTAAGAAGGCTAGAGAGCGATATAAGAGAAGAAGACGCATTCGTCAGGAAATAGCCTCGGCTACCATATTTGAAGGGGAAGATAATCGGCTATATACAAAATTACATATAAATGGTGAAGAGATAGAGGGATTGCTAGATAGCGGAGCCACAGTCTCCTGTCTGGGGAAAAATTGCCTTAGCTTTGTGGAGAGAGCGGGATTGGAAATTAAGCATTTCCATTCTTTTATTAAAACCGCTGATGGAAGCCCACATAAAATAGTTGGCAGGGTGACGACTATTGTAAAATTTAGAAAGCAGGAGCATTCTATCATATTCTATCTTGTTCCTTCTCTGAGTCGTGAGTTGTTTCTGGGGGTAGACTTCATGAAACGTTTCCAAATGTTTGCTCAGGTGGACGGTTTGTCACTCCAGGAAGTGAGTCTCTGTGGTGAGCCTGAGATCAGTGATGTTAACAGCCATTCTTTGTCCGAGGAGCAACGAGTTCGTTTGCAAATAGTGAAGGACAAATTTCCTTGCTTTACCAAGTATGGCTTGGGAAAGACTAAAGCTGAGGTCCATTCAATTGACACCCGCGATGCAACCCCGGTGAAAGATAGGCATTATCCCGTTTCCCCGGCTGTGCAGAAACTTATGTATGCGGAATTGGATAGGATGATAGAGCTAGGTGTGATTGAAGAGAGCGAGAGTCCATGGAGTCATCCGGTTACTCTAGTCCGAAGGGGCGAAAAGAACCGTTTGTGCCTGGACGCTCGCAAACTCAATGCACTGACGGTCAAGGACGCCTATCCATTGCCGCATATAGAAGGTTTGCTCAGTCGGCTGGGGGATACCTATTTCATTTCTAGTGTCGACCTGAAGGATGCGTTCTGGCAAATTCCACTGGATCCTTCAGGTAGAGAGAAAACTGCATTCACAGTGCCTGGACGACCGCTTTACCATTTTACCGTCATGCCCTTTGGTCTGTGCAATGCAGCCCAAAGGTTATGCCGTTTAATGGATAAAGTGATCCCTGGCGCACTACGTGATAGAGTTTTCGTTTACTTGGATGATCTTTTGGTTGTTTCGCCAGACTTCGACACTCACCTGGGATTGCTAGAGCAGGTGGCAGGTTGTTTGGCTAAAGCAGGACTCACAATAAATGTAACCAAGTCGAAGTTCTGCTTCAAAGAGCTTAGATACTTGGGTTACATTGTTGGAGGTGGCAAACTTAAAACTGATCCGGCAAAGGTGGAAACAATAGTGAAGTTTACATACCCGAAAACAGCAAAGCAGGTGAGGAGTTTCATGGGTACGGCAGGGTGGTATCGAAGGTTCATTGCCGACTTTGCCACCATTGCGGCTCCCATCTTTGAAACCCTCAAGAAAGGAAAACGATTCACGTTCACAGAGGAGGCCAAGGTTGCATTTGACAAATTGAAACAAGCCCTTGTAAGTAGTCCTGTCCTGACACACCCAGACTTTACCAGACATTTCTATGTACAAAGCGATGCATCAGACTTGGGAATAGGAGCAGTATTATTTCAAAGAGACGATGAGGGTGGAGAGCATCCCATTGCTTATTTTTCGCAAAAGCTGACTTCTGCTCAGAAAAATTACTCGGTGACTGAGAGGGAGTGTTTGGCAGTGGTGATGGCCATTAAAAAATTCAGGCCATATATTGAATTGATGCCTTTCACAGTTATAACTGACCATAGCAGTTTAAAATGGCTCATGTCACATCGAGATCTGAGCGGAAGGTTAGCTAGATGGAGCCTACAGTTGCAGGCATATTGTTTTGAAATAGAGCACCGTAAAGGAACCCAGAATATAGTACCTGATACTTTGTCAAGGTATGATATGGAGGAGATTTCGCTAGATGTGAAGGCCTTAATCGATCTCGATTCCTTAGCTTTTAAAGCAGATGACTATTTAGCCTTAATAGAAACCATCAAAAATAATTCTTCACAACTTCCCGATCTAAAAGTGGTTGATGGTTTGGTATATAAACGAACTCAATTCTACGACGGAATACCCCTTAATGAAGATTTCGCTTGGAAGTTATGGGTACCCAGCGAATTGACCCAGCAAATCATTGAAAAAGCACACTGTCCACCACAAGTTTCTCATGGAGGTTTCCACAAAACTCTTCGTAGGGTAAAAGAGTACTTTTTCTGGCCAAATATGAATACTCATGTTAGAAATTTTGTACAGAATTGTGATATTTGCAAAGAGACAAACTATGGATCCAACTATGGGAGCCGAAACTATTACAGAAAGGCCGTTTCAAAGAATTTATGTAGACTTCTTAGGTCCTTATCCCAGAACCAAAACGGGAAACAGTTTTACTTTCATTGTGGTACACCACCTTTCGAAATACGTTTTGCTAAAAGCCATGGCCAAAGCAAATTCAAGAAATGTAGTTAAGTTTTTAATTAGTGAAGTATTTCATAAATTTGGAACCCCAGAAGTTATTGTGTCAGATAATGGGAAACAATTTATTAGCAAAGAATTTTCAGATATGATTAAACTCTTTGGTATAAACCACACCAAAACTGCGTTTCACTCTCCGCAAGCAAATGCCTCGGAGCGGGTAAATCAATCTATTTTATCAGCGATTCGGGCATATCTGGGAGAAGATCACCGAGAATGGGATCAAAATTTATCAGAAATAGAATGTTCTCTGCGATCTTCTGTACATAGTTCCATCGGAACTACCCCTTATTTTGCGCTCTTTGGAGTCAATATGATAAATCATGCCAGTCTTTATAAATTAGCCAGGAAACTTGAACTTCTTAATGACCCCGAGACGACACTCATTCCAAACTCGGTAAAACAGAATCTTATTCGAGAAAAGATAAGAAATAGTCTGCACCAGGCATACTTGAGAAATGAAAAATCTTATAATCTTAGAAGTCGTCAGGTCAAGTTCATCCCAGGGCAAGAAGTTTTCCGAAGAAGTTTCAGGCAAAGTGATTTTAAAAATAATTATAATGCTAAACTTGATAAAAAATTTTTCAAGTGTCGCATTGTTAAGCCAGTTGGGAAATGCCTTTACGAAGTAGAAGATCTTAAAGGGCATCCCATTGGCATTTTTCACGCTAAAGATTTGAAGCAATAAATGCTTTAGTTTTGATGAATTAAATTCTTCTAATTATTTTGTTTTTGTTCTCTTTGCATATATATAGTGAACGAAGTCTAAAGCATATATATGAGGATAGAAATTATTATTTTTTTGAATTTTAAAATGAAGCGGAGATCTCAAAATGAAATACTAATCCGCTACGTTTGCACGGAAAATATTTAAAATTTAACTCTTAATTCTATCTTAACTTAACTTAAAGTTACCTTAAGTTTAAATTTTTCCAATACTCACCTGAATTTTCAGAGTTCCGGAAGATCCAATTGAATTTAGTTGAAGTAGTACCTGAATGGAAAAAAAAATACAAATTTTATTACAATTATTTAAGATATAATATTAAGAGGACTAACCTGAATTTCTACTTACGAAATGTCCTTTTAGTATTCCCAATTTTTTACAAGCTGTAGGACAGCTTTTCCTTCCATGAGTGATGTGTAGTTGTGTGAATTTCTCCAGTTTTTTGAGCCATAAAGGAAAAGAAAAAAATATGAAATTAGTGAAATATCATTATGTAGGATTATTGGCAAAATAGAAAAGACCAACATAAAAATAAAATTAAATTTAAAATGTCCAACTAGAGCATTACTTACAGAGTTTTTTTTAGCTAAATTTTTGGTTATGAAATATAAAATTTAAGTTTATAAAAAAAAATATAGCTCTCATAATATTTCTCAATTTTTCAGAGAAAAATTACAAAACTAGGAAATTGAATTAAAACTACATCTTACGTTTAATTTTGAAACTCCGTCAGTAGGCCCGCTGTAAGTCTCGACTGGAATATTTGCTGATGCAGTTCGGAACCCTGTTTTTTTTTTCATCCGAACAGGAGTCCAATCTTCTAGACTCTAACAGCAGATGTCAGAATTGTGAAGTCAGAGTACGATTTAAAGCACTCTGGGTTTACCGACTCTAGTTGATGTCTGCGCATCCGGAGCAGTCATCTGGTGACTGTCTTTGACCATTAGTGCAATTCCCCTTTCGCGGTGAAGCAGTAGCCGTTCGCTGTTTGGCACGGGCCAGGGAACTGTTGTACACGAGGTCGCAGATCCGTCCTTCACCCGACTTACGACACTAGAGTCTGGAAGCCAGAAGACAAAAAGAACAAATACACCTCAGTGCATTTGCAAAACATCGTATCCGACATTCTGACAAAAGCTGAAGGTCTAGTCGATGGTACACCTGTTGGAAAGAAAAAGGAGAGCAGGATTACTCGAACTTACCATCAAATATAATTTCCTGGTTTCACAGGAGAGGCAAATTAAGTCGCCTGTAGGTAATAAATGTCTGGAAAGATAAAAAAGGAAGTATTAATATTTTTCTTATTAAATTATTAGCGTTTCTATTTGTACTTACCTTTTGTGAATTATATATCCAATTTGTGTAACTTTTCTTTCTGTCCTTTTTAATGTGAGACCATGGAGAATTTTTCTGGTTACCATAGGAGGCCACTCGCCTAGACACCAACAGCAGTGGTCAGAAAGAATTCGTTGGATTACGAACGGAAGCATCCCAGACTTACCGACTCTAACAATATGTCTACGATTCCTGAGCAGTCACGTTGTGACTGTCCTTGACCATTTGTGCACTCTTCCTTTATATTCCCATACGCAACTATGGCACAAGGCAGAAGAGTGTTGTACACAAGGTCGCAGAGCTGTCAGTCATCGATTTACGACGTTAGAGTCTGGAAGCGGGAAGACACGATCAAACACATCTAAATGCATTTGAAATGATATCGTATCCAACAATCTGACCACAGTGTGGACCTAGTTGAGGGTACCCCTACAGCCAAAGAAAATATCAGGTCTCAATCTTACCTTTCGTTCAATCCAAACGTAGGCAGTCACCAATCTGAAAAGATAAGAACAGAAAGAGAAAGTATTAGTTATCTGTAAAAAAGAGGAAACTTTAAGTTAAAATCAAAATATAATTTAGAACGAATATGGTAAAAAATTTAATTTTTAGACAATCACACCGAATATGTCCGTCCGATTTGGATAACTTTCTCAGTTTATCAATATTAATTTTTCATTCAGTTTAATACTTTCATCAAAATTCAAAACATTTCACATAATTTGTCATATTAAATTTACTGAAGCCCAATTCTTGAATATTTTATTTTCAATTAATTCACAATAGTATTTCAATTTCATTCACTTTAATTTTTTTCATTAATTTTTTTTAGATATTGATTTGCACAGTTTCTAACTAGTAAAATCACTTTTTATGCCTTAATTATTTTTTTTAATCATGCTACTTTTTCATTATTTATTTCAATTAAATTCTTTGCACTTTTCGTCATTAAAAAATAAACACACTATTTTCACAAATAATTTACGTCCGTCCGATCAATTCTTAATTTCTCACTATTTTCCACTAAATTTTTATCCATCTCCTTTAATATGTTTCCAATAGTAATCATTCATAATTTTTTTCCACTTTATCTCTTTGGCCCACAACATTGTTCATTTTTGCATTTTGTTTTGTTTTCACCATTTCAATTTTTCTTTTCTTTTGGTGATATTATCTATTTTGATTTTATTCGCACTTTTCACTCATTCCTTAATTCTGTTTTCTTTATCTGTTCCATTTTTCATTCACTACTCACTAACTTCGAATTCTAATTCGAACTTATTGTTTCCGCCAAAGTCACATTTTTTCTTAATGAGTGCATTTTTTCATTGTAAATGCAAATGCAACTTTTATTTACACACACACACACACACACTGGAGGGAAATCATTAATTTTTTTGGTTAGAATATTTAAATATTTTTAGGAAATTAATTGAATTTGTTTCATTAAAACCACTTTTGTTATCATATTTCCTATTATTCTTTTAGTTTTCGATATAAATTTCTTAGATTTCTTTGCATTATTTTTTTCATGCAATTATTTGCAAGTTACTATTCGCACATACACCCGCACTGTATGTTTATGATAGTAATTTGCATTCATTTTTTTGGCACTTTATTCACTTTTCACTTTAATTATACACGTTATTTTCACTCACCCGGCATTTAAATTTATTGTATTATAATTAATTTATAATTCACTATATTTTTTTTCACTCTACTTACCCAAAATTTTATCATTTCTGCCGCTCCAAAATTTTCCGTCCGTCCGTGCTCCAATCCGCCAAAAAAAAATTACAATAGACGCGTACTCCGATTGTTTTCATTCATAAACATCACTACTATCGGTAATCACTACTATCGGTAGCCAATTTACGTCAGACTAAACGATAACGCGTGGCGTATGACGTAAACATTATACCATGTTCCTACGGGCTAATGGAGCTTTTTATTGTAATAAATAAATCAGTCCAAAATTAAATTTCATTTTGGAAAATCAGTGTTAGGGATGCCAGATCGCGATTTTTAGGGATGCCAAACACCGATTTTTTTAATACCCTATCAAACCATTGATTTTTTTTTGCATTTTTAAACCAAAGGTCGCACCTTTTTTCCCCCTATCCTTCGATAAGGATATCAGCAGGATAGTTGGCTTTGTGGTGTGCGCCTTTAAAAGGGGTAACCCTGAAAATAATTGATAGCTAGAAGAAGAAGAAGAACAATTACTAAAAAACAGCTGATTATTCCAATTACTTAAATGTCAATATTAGGGAATAATGTAAAAAGAAAATGGAAAAATTAAGCGAGGAAAATGGCAGCCAGAATTTCCTGGCAAAAATTGTAAGAAAAATCGGTCCTTTTTGATTTTGCCTGCGAAGAAGATTGGATACGTGGCTCCCTGTAACCAGCGAAGAAAAAAGCCGACAAAGTTTTTGGTGATGAACCACTTGTTAAGAAGTGAATTCAATGTTTTTATTTGTTTGAAACATATATACAAACAACACGAAATACAAACTTTTTTTACAAAATTGGAAGCCTTAAAATAATTCAACAAAAGTTAACAACAAAAGGCTAAAAGTTGAAAGAAAACTTATAACAAAACAAATAATTTTCACAAAAATTGAAAATTAAAAGACAAATTGAACTTTTCTTAAAATTAAAACAAAATTTGGAAACAATTTAACCAAATTGAAAGAAAACCACAACAATTAACTAAAAATCTAAACCAAGAAAATAAATCTTAAACCTAAAAATTCATTAAAAATTGGAGCCTACAAGCCACACCATCGCCCATCCAATCCATCGAGGGAGCCGCTGATTTTACGCCATTGCTAACCCAGCGTGGCTTGGTATTCCCAATCGACATTTTATACACGAAACCTCGGACAGACAGACAGACGACGAAGCATCATAATTAAATTCCGCGGTTTTTTCTGTAAAAAAAAGGAGAAATATGAATTAGAAGGGGAAACAAATGAAGTAAATTTTAAATTTTAATCACCTTTTGGTTAGTCTGCAGGTACACGACGTTGAACAGAGCTCTATTCAAGGTTAGGTAACCAGGCTTTTAATCCGTTCGTCGATTTTAAGTGCAATCGACACTCCATCTTTGTTTGCCTTTCCTGAAATTAAATGAAAGAAATATAATTAATAAAAAAATTAACGTGGAATATAATTAAAAAAGCTAAACTTTAACAATACTTACGTACATACTTGTTGGGAAGAACCACAATTGCAAGCTGCCTTTATTGCACCCTAATTTTTGTCATCAGAAAGCGCAGTCTAAAAGAAGAAAAAGGAGAATTTTTTTGTAATTTTTGGCAAAATTGTTTTAATTCATTGAATTGAATTCATTGTTAAATTTGAACGCAAACATTAAAGTTAGCATGTAATTTTTCTACGAATTGTTATTTGGGTATTTAAATAGTTTAAATAAAATGTACCAATTTTATATAGAAAAGACAAATATGTCCTTGGCTTAAAGCCCTTTTTTAAAAGGTGGTGGTAATGGTATAAAATGCGGTAAGTCAAGGGTCAGATCTGGGACGTCCAGTATGAGTAGACGTCATGGCGAGAGGTGTTCTCGGAGGGAGGGCTATCTCCTGGCTGGTCAGCCGCCAGGAGCACTGTTTCTGTGAAAAAAAACTAATGTTATTTTGGGATTTGGTTGTAGTTAAGTGAACGTTTTCTTCTTTTTAATTTTTTTTGTTGACATGTTTCAGGCTTCTTTTTACCCCTTTTTTTAAATTTAGTTTGAAGTCCGGTATGATTTTATTTGTTTGTTCAACCGAAAAGATCTGCAAGTGGCAAGAACCAACCCCCAATCCGACGAGCCATAGCCGCGCTAAACGCCAGCATACCGGCAACGCCACTTAATGGTCAACACAGCGATTTCATTTCGTTTTTTCTTGAACACGGTTGTTACATACATTGTGCATTATCATGTACGTTTGCATGAAGCTTTCAGCGCAAATGGTTAATGCATTCATTTTGCTTTTGATTTTGTGCTGTACAGACAATGTCGATAACGGACGATACAGTTTTAACGATTGATATATTAACATCCCAAAGTGCTAAATAACATGTTTTTTCTCGCTTTGAAAAAAAAAAACGTCACAAATGAGAATATGCATAATCTCTCAACCGCACACAAGTCAAAATCGAACGTAATGCATGAGAAAAAAACAAAAAATTCAAATTCATCATAGGAATGACGCATACATAAAAAATTGCATGAATTTTTACCGTGTACGGGGCACTTTACCCTGGAGCATGGTAGAAGAATACAGGTAGACGCATCAACGCTTTGGAACATTGATATGTCAAAAAATTTTAAATGTTCTTTCAAAATTTAAGTAGATTTTTATATGTTTTCTTATACGATATCATTATTATAATTCGCGTTTTTCAACATTTTTTACAAATTTAAATAATTTTTCTTTCAATATTTTCAATTCTAAAATTGGTTTGACAGTTCATTGTCCCAGCAGCTGTGTCGATGCGTCTGCCTATATTCTTCTGCCATGCTCTGGAGTAATCCTTGATGAACTACGGATCCCTAAATGTTAATCATTCGCATACATACATCTGTGTCACCGATAAGAAGAAGAGTCTCAATAAACTACTTTTTCACCGTAAACTTGTAATATTGTAATGATTCCTTTAATACTTGTACATTCCTATGGACAGGAGAACAGCACCAAAATAATAAAAGATATTTTGCATGCAAATGGAGGAGATTGTGAAGAGATAACAACACAAGTGGAAGATTGCAGTCTAGCCGTCTGCAAATGCAACATTATCACAAAATACTATGAAACTGAAATTGGCTTCTTCGAATGGGACGACCTTGAGTCTATTCCCAATAGTTTGTGCAAACATATCGAAGGATGTATTATATATTTTGATGCTGATTGTGTGACTTTCAATACAAAAATCGATTTCCTAAACAAATTTGTGAAAACTAACAATATTGGTTTCCCGTGCATATTAACACGAAATATTTCCAAGAAAGAGTCTATGGATACATTGCGGCAGAAGTGTGCTTCATCTAAATTTGCCGTATGCGATTTAAATAGCGAGGATGACTACGATGATGGTGCAGACAGAGGATATGGCGAAGTCATTGAGATGTTAAAGAATAATGTGTGGTCTAATGTAATTGTCGCTGGCAGGAAATTAAATCTGGATTTTAACCATTTACCATCCGAGGACAACTCAGATGAATCAGTCTCGGATGATAGTGATATCGAAAATCAATTGAATGAGTTTGAAAATCTCATGAATAATCTTCAACAGTTTAAAGCAATGTCTCAAAATCTGAGTCGCGATGAGTTACTGGATAATGCCGAAAAGTTAGCAGAACAATTTGCCAATATATTAGCAGAACGTTAAACAAAGTAAAAAAATAAAAGAATTGGTATAGAATTTGTCTGCTCACTCCGAATATTTGTTTAATAAAATTTTCGTTAAAAATATCGGCGAATTTGACTTTCATTAACTTGTTGCAGAATCTCATCGTCTCAGAATCTGGCGCTTTATTCTAAATGGTGTTCCAGTAATCTAACAGTATGAGAATTATACCTGAAGAATCCTAAACCTATATTAGTAACTAAACAACAATTTGTGTTAAAACACTGTTTCACAATGTTCTTATCAAAGAAACCGAAATTAGTTGAGTAAACTGGCAATGTTCACAAAGGATAATGAAGTGATGGCCATGGTTTAGGAAAAGAAGCCACAGTTTCTTTAATTTTTTTATGGATATTCTCATCGTTAGCTATTTAAAATTATTCTATTTACCAAACAACTTTTTTATGCACAAGTGATGACAGTAAGCTCAATAGAAGGATAGCCAAAATATCACCTCAGCGAGAAAAATTTTGAATTTCTTCTAGATCTTGTAACCGTTTTGCTATATTACTCCACAGACAGACAGTGGTTCTATATATCAAACAATTCCAGTGGGTATTTGATAGGATGTCGTAGTTATTTTGGTTTCCAATTCCCCAGGCTTAATGGGATTTTTATAAAGACCTTTATTTTCAGTGGAGAATTAAGAAAATAAGAAACAAATAAATGTGTTTTTTAAATATATAAAGTTTATCACTTTTATTTTATGTATAAAAATTTAAAAATGTCTAGGTACTTAATATACAAATATTATCGTCACAGTATTATTTTTTTCATTTAAACATAAAAATTGTATAAAAAATTGAACCAAACACAATTACATACATATAGTCATGAAAAAACTCCGAGATTTTTGGAACATGAACAAACTTGAAAAATAAAACACTAGTTGTTATCAATGCCTAAAAGACGTAAACGTTCTTGTTTACGAAAAGCTTTCCTTTGCGAAGGCGGTGCTCCCTGAATAGAACGCAATACATCAGCATTTGCTGCATATGCTTGTGGATTATAGGAAGGTACATTTTCATCATCCCAATTTTCTTCACTTTGGCATTGAGGCATTGGTGGCGGTACAGTGCGACATATTGGAACCTCTACGCTGCTGCGGAAGTGTTCGAACGACGTACGTTCGGGGCAGGAGCTAACATGAAACTTTAAAATACATTACATTGAATATATGTATCACATTGTATTTTTATATTTAATACATTACCTCTAGTTCGGGTTCATTGAGAATGTGGGTTACATTAAAAGGACATGTAACTTTCTTTTCGTTGGGATGATTTTTGCGGCAACGTGTTAGATGCACCTTAAATATTTAATAAATAAACCATTAGTAATAATGAAATTCAAATTATAAAGGACATTCCGTCTCACCTGCATGCGCGACCTTAAAATTTGATGATGTTTTTCGTAGGGACATTCGATAACATCCTGTGTGTGAGCGTTTTCCATTTTGGTAGAGGTTCCAAAATAATGTCGCACAATTATAATTTTTAAATTAATGCCTAAATATTATTTGTTATATACTAAACAATTAATTTTTAATAAATTACAAAATGTTAAGAAAATGTGTCCCTTCTTTGTTGTTTATGCAGGGATAATTAGATCGTTTATCGGATTTCCAGGCAAAGGCACATCACTATGCGAAAGCGTTTGGCGTCGGACGGCATTTATATGTCAAATACTAAAGTAATGCACATAACCTTCTGTTGCGGTTTCTACTTTGATACTAACTGTGTTAAGGAGTTGTCTCGTCTTTTACAATTATGAGAATCGCTACAGCTATCTAGAACTACCTAAGCAATGTTGTGGGCCTTTTTTACAAAACATGCTACAAAGTCCTGTGGCGCATCACACGATCACTTGAGAATTTGAAAATACCACACAAATTTGGGCAGAATGCATGCTGTGCAGGTAACATGTCGTACTGTTTTCATAATTCCAATTATCAAAATACCATTTAAGGTTGAGAGTGCTTATTCTTGAAAACTGTCATCTTTTTTATGTGTCATGTTGTAAATATTTGACACTGATAATCAGACCGAGCACAAAGTAAATTCCATGTCGACAACAAATAAGCATGTATTTGTTGCATTCCATTTAATTATTAATCTTATCTTTAAATCAAAGTTAAAAAAGGAGGCGACCTTGGACGTCAAATGATAACTTTGGAAAGGAAGGAAAGCTTGGAGACATAATTCTTGTTATAAATAAACCAATTAAAAAAAAAACTTTTAAATGTTCTCATTTGACATTTCTTTCAACAGGAATTGAGGCCCTATGCTTCGAAGCAAGGTAGATTTTCAAAGACGTATTGTAAATCAACTGGTGCTCCTCACAATTTTCATTAATTTTCGCTAACATTTAATTCTAGTATGTTGTTTGAATAAGCAGTAACTGTAGTGAATTGTCAATCTCCCCTCTATAGCTATATGGAAATTCTTACATTCAGACCCTTAAAAATAAATAATTATATACCCATTATCATTATGAAATGTGGATCTATCAAATTTATCGAATAGTCGATAAAAAAGCCGACTATTTGAAATGTCACCATCTCGGTTATTCGTTAAAGTCGATTTATAGATTTGTTTTTCCACGACCTACGTATCCCTAGTTGTCAGTGAACGCAGTAGAAAAGTACGGCAAAAATATTTCAACGTATTAAAATGCTTGCAAATAAACAATAAACAATTGATTTGTATAGCGAAGTAACAAACAAATAAGAAATTCAAGGGATTGGAAACACTTTATTAATACGTTCGAATAAAAATCAATTGAGAAATTCAGTTTGATCGAATTTTGTATTGTTGGTGTTGTGAAGAAAAAAAAGCAAATTAACGAAAATAGCTCAACAGACAGTCAGAGGAAACAAAAGACTTTAAAAAAGCCATATATTTGTTTTTCGGCTGAGGAAAAATACGATTGAGCAAGAATTCTGAATAATCGGGAGAGAATTAAATCAAAAAATGCCATTTTATGGTCTTTATATACCCGTGAAGGGCGGCGGTGGTGCCACAGCAGCAGCGTCTGGATCTGGAACAACCAACGCTTCCTCAAACGACAATAATGAAACCGGTAAGTTCTGCAACAAGCTCCACAACGTCAAGATGCCTGGTTATTAACGTCATTTATCTGGTTGGTCAATATTGCAAATATTTAGACGAAATTGGAAAAATCTATTGCTTTTTTGTTTTGTCTGACTTTTTGTTGTATTTTAAAGGTTAGGAATTTTGTGTTCCCTTTCGTTTTATCTTGTTGTTTTTGCTGTTTGATGGGCTGTTACTGTTGCCATTTATTGTTGCTGTTGTTATTTTTTAGTATTCCCCCATACATTGAGCTTCATTGTTGTTGTTGTTCTTGCTGTTATTGTTTCTCTTGTTTGCTGGCATGGATATTGTTGTTGTTTTCCTGTGTAGTGGCATCGTACGACTTCGTTGATGATGGAGATGAGGTAAAGAAATGAATTTGTGTGTGTGTGATTGTGCTTGGTGTGTGAAGAAACTGAGGCAACGGACAAATCGACATGAATTGCATTGCATTTTGCAACAGTGATGGATAAAAGTTACTCGCATTGTGAAATTATTTTGATTTGTTTGGAACCGAGATGGAATAATGTACTATAGAAGATTATTTCAGCTTTACTCTAATTTAGTAGAAACTCTCGGACAGTTAATATTTTCGGGTATAATTTGACATACATTTTGTGTTATCACATAATGAAACCGTTTTATATTTTTAGCATTTAATAAAAAAGGAGGTAAAAAACGTGTATTTTGATACAACTCTCGAACTTAATTCAGCACGGAAGGATCGAGGTTAATCAATGTTTTGAACCCGGTTAGCCAAGAAAAAACCTTTCCAAAATATGTATAAAATATCAACATATTTTTGCCTAAATTTTTAACACAAACGGTCGAATAAAATGACTGTTTAAAGTATGTAATATTTTTCAAAAAATCTTTGCAAACGGTGATGTCTTTACAAATAGATATTTAATTAGGAATGTAGGGTTTTTTACACATCCCTTTGTTTTACCTGTTTATAACAACACAAGAGTATAGAAGTATGCCGAAAACAAATATTTTTGGAAGATGTGTGTTTGGAATATTAGATACAATTACTCTATTCGACTATAACAATGGTAAATCCGTCCGAAGACGCAAACGACTCACAAAGTTAAGAAATTGGGAGGAAAGTTACGGAAAAACAACCTTAGGGAATTCAGACATAATCCATCAAATGCTGCTGCATTGACTTAATAATAGCCAATTCTACAGCAACAACCCAGCGAAAACTTAAATCACCAACATTATCGCTAATATCCCCGAAGTCATGCATCGTTGATTCTGAGCAAACCGTGATTCAAATAATTAGAGAATTTATCAGAGGAAAACCGTAAAGTATTCATTTATGATATTTGCTAATAATTTAATTGACAAAATCTAATAATCAATTTTAATATTGTGCTTATTTAAATATATTTCATTAGTGATGTTATCCCATTTGCTAATCGAATGCATACCAATCAAACTATACTATTAAGGTTAGCAGTGTGCAACAATGCCCACACCTTATTAAAAATGAATGAGGCATCAACAAGTAATTGCTGCTAAAGATAGTAGCCTCACCTTGGATGAGTAATTTGTAATGCCCTTCAATATGAATGGGGCGAATATTTTTTATACCCTTCGCCATAGTATGGAGGGTATGTTTAGTTTGTCATCCCGTTTTGTAACAGCTCGAAATATAAATTTTAGATCGGGGTTTAAAAGGCGTTTAGCGAGAAGGTTGTTAAAATTTCATCCAGATGTTTTTTTAGGGTCGGTTTAATTGTTTTTTTTTTTTTGAATTGAAATGGGTTCACGTTTTGGTATTGCCCCCATATGACAGTATGGGCAAATATTAAGTGTTTTGGTTGTTTTAGTCACATTTTTCGAATTTGCTTTAAATTGACAGATTGTGTCCCCAGTATGTAGAAAACATCCTTGCATAGAACTTTCCATATCGGTCCAACTTTAGATGTTGTCTTCGATATTATGATATTATCGTAGATGTGCAATATCCGTCCACTACTTCTAGCAACTCCCCAAAAAAAGGTAAAAATTCTCACAGAAAATTATTTACCTTATAAAAGAAGAAACCTTAATATTTTTATCGGTGCTAGGTAAGGTGCGAACATGGACAATATCGGCCCACTCCGTAAAGTAACTCCCCTGCAAAGGATAACAATTTTGTTCAATTTTCACATATCCCAATAATTCTACTAACACAAGAACTGGTGCGAATATAGGATATATCGGTCCACTCCTTCTGGTACCTCCCCTAGAAAGGTGTCAAAATTTTGAAATGCAAAACGCTCAAAAAATATGGAAAAGCATCCGATTCACTTTAAATTTCACAAATCCCAATATCTTAAACAACACAAGATCTGGTATGAAGAACGGATAGAAAGGACTACTCCTTTTGGTACCTCCTCCACAGACGTCAAAACTTTGAATAGCAAAACGCTCATAAAAAGCAAAATGAGGATCCGAGCACTTTTTAACTAGGCACATCTCAATATTTCTACTAGCAGAATTTTAGCTGCTAATATGGTAGATATGGGCCCACTCAAAGTACTCGTAAAATACGAAAGAAGCTTCCGATTATCTTCAAATTTCACATATTGCAATATTTTAATTAATACAAGATACTCTCATAACTTGTGAAACATGTCAGAGATTCTTGGAAAATCTAAATGTTTCTCTGAACCAGAGATTTGGTGTGAATATGGAATTTATGGGCCACTCCTTCTGGTCTCTCCCCCACCAATGTCAAAATTTCGATTAACAATTATTTGCATAAGACTGGAAATAAATCTTCGGCTATCTTTAAATTTAGCCCATCCCAATGTTTTTATTAGCATTCGATGAAGTCTGAATGGAATGCTTTGGTCCACTATATCTGAAATCTCATGCACATTTCAACATTTTCCAAAAATTATCACATATCTCATATAAAACTATATAGTACAAATTCGGCACGTTGTAATATTTGTATCTGACTTAGGTCAGTTACCAGGAGTACTCATCAAGGGTGGGTTTATCACAATTTCTATGGTTTTTGGTGATAAATAATGTATTAATAGACCTGGAATAAAACGGAACTAAAATCGTGGCCTACGCTGACGATTTGGGTCTGTTGATTGCTGGGAAATTCTTGCAAACTATTTCAGACTAAATGGAAGGAGCTCTTGAGAAATTGTCAAGATGGGTACGCTGTAATGGGCTTGGCGTCAACCCATCTAAAACTGAGCTCGTTCTCTTCGCGAGGAAGTGGCAATTCCCAGAGTTTTCACCACCCTTGCTGAATGGAGTCACGATGAGTCTTCCTGCTGATGCCAAATATCTCGCTACCATCCTCCATACCATACCATAAACTGGAAGAGGAATATCGAGGTGAGCGCTAAGATGGGCTTAATAGCACTCTATTCCTTCAAAAACTCCATAGGAAAAACTGGGTGCTGAAACCATATGTTATCAAGTGGTTATATGAGTCAATTGTCACTCCGATTCTGACTTATGGAAGATGGCACTCTCTAGGGAAGTTTTCCTTAAAAAAAAAAAAAAACATTGATAAAGTCCAAAGGATGCCATCTTTATTAATTATAGGTGTACTGCTTTGAACACCCTACTCAACTCGAAACCCTTAAGTCTATTTGTAGAGGAACAGACAGCAAGATGTGCCCTGAGGCTCAATTAAG